CCCCCCCCCCCCCCCCCCCCCCCGTAACAGAAAATCTATTCAAACATTGCTGTCACTTGTGTAGCCCTGATTGCTGGGCTGTGTGGGCAGCCGTCCTGGGATAGAATTTTCCACGAGGATAAGGTACCCCAGGCCCCGTCCCAGGCTGGGAGAACTTGGAACCTTCCTCTCTCGGCCTCCCTCTGCCCCTTTGGCCAAGCACCCTTGGGAGAGGAGATTGCAAGCATCCGCCTCTATTTTTTGTTTGTTTGTTTGAAATAAAGGAAGGTGATTGGGAGAAAGAGAAAAGGCAGCCCGGCTCTCGGAAAACCCCAGACCTGAGAAACAGACCGGTTTGACCTTGGGCAGAGCACTTCTCCGGGCCTCAGTTTCATCCTCTGTAAAATGGGGGTAAGAACAGGTAATGATCACAGAAGCCGCGCCCCAGGGTTGTTGGCACAGAGTTACCTTCTATCAACGGGCACCTTGGTGTTTATGGTGACAGCACGCAGAGTGGAGTTTGAGGTCCCGGGGTGCATTGAACACTGTTCCTGCCCGGAGAACCTGGCGCACACCATTCAGGGCCCCTTCTTTGCCCACACTCTTGGGGAACGCCAGTTGAGGACCAAAGCAAAATGGCATCCCCACGTCCCACCCCTGTGTCATCCCTCCCTGGAGGGCGCTGTGAGGCCACTGTCGGGCACAGAGCTGGGAAAACCACAGGCCTATTGGGGGGGGGGGGCCCTGACCTAGCCTTCTCTTGAAACACAAAGGGACGAACAAATCCTACATCACCAGCAGGGGTCACGGCGTAAACACTGGCACCAGCCTTCCGGAACGTGTCCCATCTGATGCCATCCCTCAGCCCCACTTTGAGAAAGAATCCAAAAGGGGAATCAAAACCAATGCGTGCTGCGCCGTTTGCCCCACGTTTCATCCCCGCGGTGTAAAAACCCTGAGAAGGCGGGAACCAAAAGGTAAATATTGTAGCTTACGTTCTATGGGCGGCTTGCAATCCGCTCGTCTGCGTATTTTCTGTGACGTGGCTGATATAACTCTATCGAAAACCAAAAACGAACAGGCCCACGTAATCGTCTCCACTGGCGAAGGAGCTCTTTAAAGATGGACAATGTGTTGGGGCGCCTGGGTGGCTCAGTCGGTTAAGCGTCTGACTTCAGCTCAGGTCGTGATCTCACAGTTCATGAGCTCGAGCCTCGCATCGGACTCTTCGCTGACAGCTGGGAGCCTGGGACTGCTTTGGCTTCTCTCGCTCTCTCTCTCTCTCTCTCTCTGCTCCTTCCCTGCTCACATGCTCGCTCTCTCAAAAATAAATAAACATTAATGGAAAAGAAAAGGCACTGAAAGGAGAGGCGTGCCGTTGGCATCATTCTAGAATGGCCCCGTGATTCTCACCCCCAGGTAACCACAGCTTTGTGAAATCCCCTCTCCTTGAGTGTGGGTGGAAACTCTGACTTGTTTCTAACCGAAAATGAAGGAAGTTAGCAGAGTTAATGAAGGTCCCTAATCAGTTGACTTGACTTAATCAAAAGGGAGAGTGATTATCCTGGGTGGGCCTGACCTAAGCAGGTGAGCCTTCTAAAGAGACTCCGGTCTTCCCTGAAAGAAGGGGCTCAAAGTAGAGAGATGGATGCTCTCTTGCCTGCCGGCCTTATAACCAAACAGCCCTGTTGTGAACTGCCTTTGGGGGCGGCGGCCCCCAGCAGCGGGGGGTGTGGGGGGTGGGGGCTCAGTCTTAACAGCCGACTGCAAGGAATTCAATTCCCCGTATAACGTGAATGTGCTTTAGAAGGGGACACTGAGTTCCACAAGAGGCCCCAGCCCCAAAGGCCTCTTTGACTGCCGCGAGACCCCTAGCAGAGGACCCAGTTAAGCTGTGCCCCAACTCTTGACCTACAGAAACCGTCAGATCATGAATGGGTGTTGTTTTAAGCCGCTATGTTTGTGGCGACTTGTTACACGGCGTAGACAGGAACACAGGGTGGAGATAGAGCTTGGATGTCTACCTTGAGCTGGGCCTCCCTCTGCCCGTGGCACAGGACCCAAGGACCTGGTGCCCAAGGACCCCAGACCCACCACAGAGGCGACCTGGGGCCTTTGCTCGAATTATCTGCCAGGCCACAGGAACAGCCTCCCCTCTCACCTCCTTCCGGGCCCTTCTGTACAAGCTGACCGATTTCTTGCCCTAAAACCCAGCTCCGATCATGTCCCTTCCCCGTCTAAAGCCTCCTGCGGCTCCCGAGGGCTCTCTCAACGATGTTCCATCACCCAGGCCAGGTGTTTGGGGCT